TGGGCCCTCTGGCTATTCGCCAGATTAAGCTACGCTCACCTCGAAAAATGTAGCAGTTATGGTGGTCCTGTATGAGCAACCTGACCAGCGGTGATCGGACTTGAAAAAAATTCTGTGTAGTAGATTCTGGAAAAAAATGTGGTAGATTTCAAAAAAATGTGGTAGATCTCAGGTTGTCGATCAAACTTTGTACAAAAATTAAAAAAAATCGGCATGGTTTTACCTAAATTGCAAACTTTTTAATTAGACTTTATTTAGAAAAAAAATTTCATTTTGAAGCTGCTAAAAATTGCATTGAGTTTTGGCAATTTTTCTTCCTTGACTGTGTAAAGCAGTTTTTTCCATATATATATATTTTTCGAACATATAAAAACTTTAGATGCATTTAAATTTGCTAATCTTTCACAAAAATCGCCGTTTTTTAACATTTTCACTACTAATTCTTTTTATAAATCATATGTATATTTTGCAATTTAACACAATAACACCACGTTTCCTGTCGAAAAATTTATTATTGAGAAAATTTACCATTTTACACAGGGACGTAAACCGGTTTTGAATATGTTAGTGTTTGGTCGAGCTTCTTCTCCGATTTGTGGCGTGAGCCTTGATGTGGCACACTCCGGAAGGCGACTGTATTTTTGAGAGAACCGCTATTAGAAAAAACTTTTTTGGTTTTTAATTTTTGTTGTTGGTCGGCAAATGGGCTTGATGAACCCAGACCCTGTGGAATTGTAGCGCGCACTGCTGACCACTACACCACAACGGCCGCGCTCACCGACTTCAGTGCTCATGTACAACTTTGTGAGTACCGGTAGTTTCTTCATGATCCATTGGTCGAAACTAAAACCATAGTAGTATGGAACCAACCCTGAGATACAACCTTTCTGATAAAAGAAAATTATCGAGAACGGTTCACGTAGTTCAAAGTTATACCGTTAATACATAAAAAAACATAAAATAAATATGCCGATGAATTGACAACCTTCCTCCTTGTTTGAAGTCGGTTAAAAATAAAAGTAGGTACAATACGATTATTGGAGCCAAAAATATTGAATTTTTAATGCGGCAAAGTCCGGTAAATCACTCAAATTCAACGCCTTTATAACTTCAAAAACACACTTTTTTGAATTCCCGATATAGTGTCGTCAAAATTCACGGAAAAAATTCTTGGTGTCTTTAAAAAAAATTACCCATATATTGTACTCAACTTTTTCTTTAAAGTTTAACCGAGTAAAACATGTGATTACCTTGTTTCTTTTTTCCACTGGTTTTATTGTTGTATATATTTTTTTTTCGAAAACTACGTTAAAATTTCCATGAAAAAAATAGTTAAAGCATATCACAAATAATTATATTGCAAAGAGGCATTCTTATGTGCATTGTAAATATGTGGTTACTTTCACCCCTCCCCATCCGCTTCATATTTCTTTTGTTTTGTTAAATAAAATGTAGTAAGCATTACATACTATTACATACATACATATACTTAAGTAAGTGAATAAAATAATTTAAACTAAATAACAATGAGATCCCTGATGAATGTAACGAATAGTGCCGCTTGCCTCTCAGCTAACACAGCACGAAAGTATACAGGAAAGGCACACAAATGAAAGCTTAATGTGGCGCTATTAACACCACCACCGCTCACAGCACTGCAGCCGGCACAGGCAGCTGACGCCAACTCTGACACAGCCACGCTGTCAACAGGTCATCGTCGATTTTCTCATGCGTGTTCGTCCAGAAGAAGGTGCCATCTTCGGTGTGAATAAATTGAATGGGCAGGTCGGCGGCGAGCGCGTGCTGACTCAGCAACGCCGCGGCGTCTGTCACAGCGGGTAAGTGGTGTGAAGCAGCTACTACTGTGCCAGCCACTGTGTTTGCGGCCGCTGGCGTTGCGGTTGCGGTTGCGGTTGTGGTTGTGGTTGAGGCTTGTGTCGCCGCTGCATCGCAGATGTGATGATGAAATTGCTCGTGCTGACAATTTCGCCCATAGACACAGTGCGCACACGTGCTGGGCGGTGTCTTTTCGATGCTAGCGCTGCTGATAACTGTTGTTGCAAATTTGGCACTCGCCTGACAGGGGCGCTCCCATGCGCGTTGCATGGTGGTGCTGGTTGTGCCTGTCGCTGTTGTCTCCCACGCGCCATGATTGCACTCCTCTTTGCAGCTCATTTTGCGCATCAGACTGGCATAGTCTTCGATTAGCGTGGTGGGCCACTCCTCACCAGGGCAGGTGGTGGCGGTGTGGGCGGTGGTGTGCGCTTTCGCCGCTGTAGTGGCATTGTTAAGATGCACATTGTTTGGGTGTTGTAAACTGGAGATATTTCCACTGTTTCCGTTTGTTGTGTTGCTGCGCTTGCGTGCTGCCATCAGACGCAAAAGGGGACGCCACAATTTACAAAGCTTTCGCTTTGACTTCTCCGCTGGCGCGGTGGTGGGTGGTAAAGTTGTGCTTGCGTTTGCTGTGAGACTCATATCCGCCAGCTGATGGGCAAGATTCTTTGTGTCGGTGTACATTTTTGCAAAATGTTTATTTCCTTATTTTTCGTGTCTTTAAAGTCGTATTCCGAATTATTCTTCAATGCCTGTTTCGTGTTCGAGTTCGTTTAATTACAGCTCTTCGATATTATTTTTGACTGCTCGCTTCGCGTGTTCGCACTGTGAAAGTTGTTGATGAACTGATGCTGTTGCGCTTGCATCCGTACGTTTTTATACATCAACCATCCACAAGGGGCAGACCGAGCAGCCAGTCAGCCAGCAATAGCAGCCAACTAACCATCCAACCATTCATCGATCGATCGTGTGAACCAACGCAGCTGAAGGAAAGCAGAAATACGAGACGAGCGTCGCCTTTGCACCACCGCTGCCGGTAACCTTCCGTCTGTTCACACTCCATCGTGCCGCACTCAGCTGAGCGCCGCCGCTCAACTGCACTTCCCAGTCAATCCGTTCTGGCTAACGCAGAGAAATTCCAACAGGAATCATACATTGTATATTTCCCATGTTGCCTCCGCTCTTTCGTTTCTTCGCTCTCTGGCTACCTTCATCTGGCCTGCTTGTGTTCGGCTGACCCAAAAGGGCAACACAAGTCAACGCACTGTCGACACTGCGAACTGCCACAGCCGCCACCTCCGCCATAGCCGCTGCTACCAGCGTCAGCATAGTAACCAGCAAACATCTTCAACACTAATTCAGCTAACTCAGTATGCAGCGCAGGTAGCATGCAACAACGACAGCAATAACAACACAGTTGTACATACAACCAACTACAGCTGTATTAATCGAAAAGGGGCATTGGTAGGTTGGCAAGTTGGCTCCTCAAAAATTAACCAAAAATCTGAGCTGCCTCTCTGCGCAAGAGAGTCCGTAATGTGAGTGTCTGTCTGTAAGTGTATTTATGTGCCTGCAAGAGCGCCCCCTAAATGGCAGGGAAAAAGTGTGGGAAACAATTTTTTGGGCACATGTTTTTTTACTAACTTGTTTTTGCTTTTCTTTCTTCCATAGTGAATTTCTCTCATTTTAACAGGATGTTGCATGATATCATGTAGCAAATACAGTGTAGTGTCTGAGAGCTGGCAATGGCGACTTTAAGCAGCCCTACAATTTTCAGTTCCCAAAGAACAGAAGAGCAGGCAAAAATAGAGGCACACCTATCGCTTAAGTTACTAAAGTAAGGCCAGAACTGAAGTACTGTAACCGTTTGCTAGCTCTAACTGTGATAGCCCGAGATTTCTTAGACCTTTCCAATGAGCGCATTCATTGCATTGCGAATTCATTTGTTTGGTGTTGGTTGATTCTTTCGGCAGAAGGTGATGTATTTTGAACTAGTGATAAACCGGTTATCGCATTTTCGCATCTTTAGTATCATTTTACGTTCTCGAGAATTATGTTCAGTTGCCTTATTTCGGCATTCTGCCTTAGTTCCCGGTTTTTCTTTGAAAGATTCGCTTGTTTTTCCAGCTTCTGCAGAAATCTTTAACTAAGTCACTCCGGGTGCCTCGCTAAAAATGATGTGCCCTGACAGCATATCCATGACCAAGGAAATTTTTTGTTTGCTCAACATAAGGAGCTCCCTCGACCTTTTGCAGTCCCATTCTAGCCGCACAAATTTCTAAGAAAAAGAGTTGTATATTATATACGACTCTTGCAGTCTTAGTTGTTCCGAGTACACGCCTATACTGACCCACTCATTGTATCCATCTGTTTAGAATCCATTAAAGTCTAAAGTACTAAAACGCTTTACTAAGAAGTTTTGTAAGTATAATATTGACGGCATTATAAGAAACCCCAAGAAAACAGACTAGAAAAATGTTTCCATATTGGCATCCCACACACCATTTAGCATTGATGAGACAGTTATTCACTTGACTGCTATTCTGGCTACGTATTTTGAACTATCGTGCCATATATGTATGTATCTCTGCCACAAGACAAATCCAAGCCGGTTTGGGGGAATGCAGAGCTTGTGCAATTTAGATCAATGTCAAGAAAGCTCTCGGAATTCTTAAATTTTACTTGACCTCTGAAACAACTAAAAGCGAAAGAGAATAAGAATTTCGCCTATGCCAACGACAGAATTTACGGCCCTTTTTCCTTCATCCTGCCAACAAATGACCTTCTCATTCCTTGGGGAAGCCAACTTATGGTAGCCCGCCAATTTGAAGCACGTAATGTACTGGGTGAAATAAAAAGAGGACAGCTTAATGGAATAAAAAAGCCAGAACTGATTACACTTCGGCGACTTGGAACTTCAAGCAAGGATACCTTCCAGCAAGCAAGGATATATCCATTTTTGATGATGTTTGAAAGACGTTTCATGGAAATGGCACCGCTCTTTACTCGAAGGACCTGCAGATCAGTTAGTTGTGTTATCTTCCAAACGACTTCAGTTCCTTCCAATCTAAAATTCATGCATTCAGCCGGAAAAGTGACAACCTTTGTCGATATCCAAACGACTTTGGAAACAATGAGATCGATAGTACTTAGTACAATTAGGAATTACACGTTGCAATCAGTGATCGCATTACGCTATACTTATGAGCTAAAGGAGATGATTTTGAGGTCTTAAAATCTTAATACGAAAGACCTTCCGAACCGAACAGATCGGCGGTAAGTGCTCTTAAGGTTGCACCCACAATGATATTACTCCGATGACTTCTCTTTGCAGTTGCACAGAAGCTGATGCAAAGAGTTTGACGAGGAATCATTTGATCACTTTCTGCGTCGAAGTACGGGCATTCATTTGAATAGAAAAACATGCCTCCTTCAGGCACTTACCAACAGCGGGCACACACAATGGACTAAAATTATAGGAGACACTGGTAAAAAATAAATAATCATGTGTTTCGTAATTTTTTCTTTTTTGGGTCTATCGGAATCTTGCGAGATGTTTTAAGACTTTTTGTGTGCTTTTTCAAACTTGTTGCAGTTTTCCTTATTTATTTTTTTAGTTCACAGTGTCCTTTTAAATCTTAGAGAATCCCGAAACTTCAAATATTGATCCAT